TCAGCAACTTGTGGAACTTCAACGATTGTTTGTCCAACACCTATTTGAACTTAAAGTGGAAGGTTGAGCATGAATATGATTCCTTTCAGAAACAATGTCCAAGAAATCGATCACTCCCACTATCGAGTCATTCTCAAGAAACTTCACATGTCTTGACTCCACAATCCTATTGTCATGAGATGGACAATAGAATCTGTACCCTTTTGACCTTTTGGCATATCCAATGAAATACTTACTAATAGTCCTTAGGTCTAGTTTATTCTCTTGTGGGTTATAAACTCTTACTTCAGACAGGTATCCCTGAACGCGCATATTCGCAAACTTGATTTCAATATTTCCATAATTCAAATGGTGTCTTTGGGACAGCCTTGGCTGGAGCTCGATTTAATATGTACACTGCCGTTTTAAGAGCTTCAGTCCAGAAGGATTTAGGAAGCTAGGAGCTGTTAAGCATACTCCACATCATGTCCAATAACGTTCTATTTCTTCTTTCAGACACACCAGTTTGGTTCGAAGAACCAGGCATGGTATATTAGACAATTATCCCATTCTCTTGAAAAAATTTCGCAAATGGATCAGGTCCTTGTCCATCCTCGGTATATCTATCATAATATTCTCCACCTCCATTTGTTCTCACGATCTTAATCTGCCTGACACATTGTTTCTCTACTTCGGCCTTAAAAATCTTAAAGCCAAGTAGCTCGTTGGTTCACCTGCTCGGCTCGTCCCATGTGCCATTTGGGCTCATTTTGAGACGAGATCGAGCACGAGTCGAGTGATGAATTGGAATGATGAGCCGAGTCATGAGCTAGACGAGCGCCCACGAGCCCACAATGATTCAATGGTCACTTCTTTTGAAAATGTGACTGTTTGGTCAATGTTAAAGGTTTTATGACAATTTTGCAACAATCTCGAACTTTTAAAGGTGATTGCTCATTAAATTTTACTTTATTTTATTATTATTTAATTCTATAAATACTCCTCATTTCAATCAATTTTCTACTATTATTTCTACATTATCTACAATCTAATTATTTACTCTCAAATCTCAATTCAATTTAATCAATCTATTACATTTCTCATTTTTCATATTTTCTCCCTTTGTCTCAATTTTTATAATTCAACCATTACATATTTACATTCCATCATCTATAGATTTTAAATGTTGAGAATTTACTTAATCATGCATAATGGAAAATAAAACAAATTTCAATTCCCACCAAAGATCTCATTTATGTTTAGATAAAAAAAAAATTGTGATATAAATTGCACATTTCTTGAATTCTGCAAACTTCTTTGCTATTTTTTTGTTCCAACAATTTTGATCTGCCACTCACAATTGTCAAATTGTCCAACCTCCAATATAAATCCACATAGGAAACAATATTGAAAAAGAATCAAGGTTTTACTTTTCTTGTGCTAGCAAAAATAATGAAAATCTTTACATTTTTTAAACCCTAGAAGTTTATTTATATAAGACCAAACGGGCTTGGCTCGTCACTTAACCCGATCCAATATTTAATTAACACATTTAATTAATTCTAGTCCATGAATTAATTAATCCAATGAATTAATTTGAACATATTAATAAGCAACCCAATTAATTATCCAACAGTTGTTATTAATTAATTGGTAAATCTCATTCTTCTAATTCTTCTTTGTGTGTGACCCATTAGGTTTCCAATCAGGATGTTTAACAACGAGAATTATTATTTTAATCTAATCAAAATCGATAAATTAAAACACTTATTTTTTAATTTATCGTCAAATCACATTCGTCGTCCCAAATCGACATCTAGTAATGTGTTAGAGGAATACATATTACGATAAATGTCACGTGGTATGATAAAATCAAATTTGTTCGTTTATCATGAAACTATAATCCCTTCGTCAATATGATCTGATCAATTATGAGATATGGATAAATGTCAATCTCAATTATCGACTATATCTTTCATTCCATTGTTAACTCTATACAAGTCGAAAATTCTTTTTCGACTTATGAATACTTATTGGCCAAGGATTTCGTTATTGACTTAACTGAATGAAATGTATATCATAATCTTTACCTATCTAAGAGTGGAGAATCTTTATTGGTCATTCAAAACCTTCATATAATTTTTGACTTACCCGAATGATGCCGTATTAGCAACCTTTGGTTGAGCAACATTCAATATCACCAAAGTATGACTGCTCATATAAGGCACTATGTTGACCTCAAGTCAAAGGACCAATTTCACTACTGAATGTTAGAGATTAACCACTTACACTTAGATAGTTATTCATGTGGAATCTCTCAATGGATATCCAATGTTTTGTTCTATAACAAAACATTCACGTGTTCATTTAAGTATCACCACACTTTAAATTGTGAGATTATTTATTTATTTCACAAGTAAGAAATATCACACGTGATACTCTATCAGTAATAACGATATTCATATCTCGCTATTACCTACGATCACAGATAATTTAAGATTTAATCATATGTAATTTGTATTTCACAATCACAACTCTTTGTAATTAACAAATCGTTAATATTTGAATCTATGATCTCTATTATTTAATTAAATTGAATTTTAATTATATAATAAATGTGTCATAAAATTGCATCAATTATATATTAGAGGTGTTTATGTCCAAAGTTGATTGGACTTAGGGCATAACATTTACACTAAATACTACTATAAAGAGTTGCAAAGTTTTAAAAAGATCGATGAGAGTATTCGATGGTTAATTAGCTTCGGTTATCAATAGAGAGAGTCACCAAAGATAGAAGGTACAAATTAAATCATAAATATTATTCTAATATTTCATGTTAAGATATAACATTAGTATAACTATTACAAACCAAAATTCTACACTTCTCATCATTACAATGCAACAACAGGATTAGAACAGTTTAGTTCTAACATCTTTGTTATACTAATTAACACAACATTTATAATTGTAATTACACATGATTGATTATTAAGTAAGAATATATCAAATATATATATTAATTATAATTAAAAGATATAAAACAACTAATAAAAGAAATTGAATAGAAAAATCAACTACGACACTATCTTAGTTTTCTCTGAATCATCTAATGATTTTACATCTTCCAAATATTTAATGCAAATCAACGCATTAACAATCTTTGCACTTAATGAAATCATAAAGAATAAAGAAAATGACTAGTAGAGATTGCAAACTTGAAAGCAATAATGGATATATGAATAATTAACATATCTTTAATAATTTGGGAGACAATCATATGACTTATTTCCAATCAATTTCCACTAAAATGTTATGTCAAAAGGCTTATTGATCAAATATTCGAAACGACTATTTAAGTAATCCATCAAATCATTCTAGTAATTAATAGTTAAATTTAGCAACTAAGTTTAAAATAAATAATAATTGAGTGATTTGACCCAAAGATTGATACTTAAATAAACCAAAAAAAATTTATTTAATTAAAAATTTAAGGAAGTTTGACACAAATTAGAACAAAATAACACAACTATTAATACAATATAACAATATAACAAGTAATTACGAAAAATAAGAAAAATTGATTTGAAAATTGAGCCAAAATTTGAAAATATTGTTACTAGAACGAAGAGAAATGGTGTGAATATGAATGAAAATCTAAATTTAATTGTCTATTCAATTGTGAATTCAATTGTGATAGATGATCAATAAATGTGGCCGTTCAGTCGATTTGAGGGTTTCTGATTACCAATTGTGATAATGAAAGTAATTATGTGTGATTTAATTAATTAATTTTGGTGGATAATTGTCTAACTGGGTTGAGTCTAATATGAATCTATCTTTTAATTGGGATATGCTTAATTAAATTAAAATTTAAACCAAACACTTTCAAAGAAAAGATATTTTGGTCAAGAGCAAGACTTTGATGGTTCCACGTGGACAATTCTGGGCAAAAAAAAAAAAAAATCAAAAAATCGATTAAACCAATCAAATCAAATCAACTCGACTCGGTTCGACAAAATAATTGGTTTGGTTTGGTTTTGCTTTTAAGCAAAATCATGGTAGGTTAGTTTTGTCATGATTTGAAGTCTGAAACCGTTGGTTTATCGAATCAACCAAATCCACTTACTTGTTTACCATTTTTTTTTTAAATTTAAGAAAAACAAAAATCAAAACAGAAGTCCTAATCTTATAACTATATCTCGTTTCCCTCCAATCTATGATATTGTCGGTAAGTAATAATATTAAAGATTTATTTTGATAAGCTCATTATGTTATGTATAACATTTTTTCCTACTTAAATAGTCAGATTACATAATACACAAAAAAGTAACAAAACTTTTCTGTTTTCTGTTGATCCATTTCTATTAACTTGATTTTATTTGTTAATCAATAGTTCTTATAATATAAATTTATTTGGTTATTTTAATTCTTGTAATCTAACTGACTAACCGGGTCTAAAATTTAGACAAATTTCTTTTTTAAAAATTCAATTTGGACTAAACGTTCAAACCGACTAATCAAATCGAACCAAACCAAATCGATTTAAGATTTAGAATTGGTTGATTTGGGTTGAAATTCATCCAAATCAAATAATTTGATTTTGATTTTTGGTTGGAGTCGAAATCGATCCAAACTAAATCGCGCTCAAACCTACAAGTGGACCCAATTCAACCATTGTTTGATTCTCATTGTTCTTAAAATTCATTTTAAACCACACATTTTTAAATAAAATAATATTATACACAAATTCAAAATATTTTTTTAATTTTTAACCACACTTCATATTCTCTATCAATTTACCATTCACTGAAATATGGATTTGGCTCTTGGGTAAGTGCAAGTGTACAAGCAGCCTTCCACCCTATACTCTTGGAGGCATAACCTGCGATTTAACTCCCTCACGATACTTCAGGGTAGGAGTGGTGGGGAACCCTTAATGTTAGGGTTTAACCTTTTATTTATTTTTTTATTACCATTCACAATGTATTATTACATTCCCAAATGAGATTCGGGCTCCACTTTGAAAAGAGGGTTTGTATTTTATTTTGTCATTTTGATGATTTCGTCCGATCATACCCAGGCCCTCGTTCTGAAAACTTCTATTTCACACCTTTCATACTGTTCCAGCGGTCCAAATTTGAGATTCCCAGTCTAACAGGTGATCTGGAATAATCAATAATCAGAGTGTCAAAAGTAAATCCAATCATAACATAATACTTGTATAGCTCGAGCGCAAATTCTCTCGCTCTACTAGATCTGATCTCAAAGAAGCTAGAGGTAAGTGTACAGATCTCTCTTACGATTACTCATGTGTATATATGCTTTTGATGATTTGATATAGGTGCTGTTATTGTATCGTGATTTGAATATGTATCTTTGTGGAATAGAATAGTTTCTTAATTGGTTTTTCTCCAGCAAATGAACTGATTCAGTGTAATTTCAATTTATTACTGCAAAATCATGTGGTAAAATAAAAAAGGATTAATTTTCGTAGGATTCTTGATGTTCAGTGATCAGCTCCTTTTGGTATTGTTGCTTTTGGCTTGGCTTTCCCCCTTTGTTCTCCAAGATGGTGGTTTTGGTTGGAGGAATAATGGAGCTCATTTGATGGGTTTAAATTCGTTTTGCCTGTAATTATGATACAAGTTGGATTTGTGTCATAGAAGTGGCGAATATAACTATGTTATCTGGAGTACACATCCGAAATAGTTATGGCACGTTTGGGATGGTGGACTAGACTGCCGAATTATTATTAATGGAAAAAAAAAGGTAGTTAAAATCTTACTGATTGTAGTGACAAGTCCTGTTTGGTACCACAAAAATTTATCCGAATGTTGGAGTAGACATTTTATGCACTAGCAGCGTGAATTCTTTGTTGACACAAAAAGCCTTCCAAGTCTGCCATGTTGCTCTACTTCATGAGTTAGCTAGGAGTGTTGTACACGTGACACACTTTTATCTGCATTTCAAGTACTCGTTGTCCTTAATATTATATATGCAACTAGATTGTGAAAGTCATTTCAGAACCAATTAAGTATCGTGCTACATGCCTTGAAACCTAGCTTGCGGAAGGGTAACTTGATAGTGCATGGAAAATAACTTATCGGCAGTATGCTTCCATGCCTGCATTGTAAAAGCTAAGTACGTATGTACAATTGTAATTTTTAATGTCTTAATTCCTGTCCTGGTTCATTGTTTTCCACATGATAATGCCTAAATTATTGGTTAAATGGGAAGAACACAAGCACTTTGTAACTTTTACTCGCTTCATGGGGAGGATAGTGGTTCCATATCATAGGACCTGACTAAGTCTTAAGCTGTTTTTTAACCTCTCACTACTCTTATCTTTTATTTGGACTTGCGACTGATGAAAACCAACATAGGCGGAGTTAGTTCCACATGGCACACTGAATATGTTATAGAAAAGTAATAGATGCTTCTCTTTCTCTTTGCTATTCTAATGTTTAGGGGCTCTACTAGACTTGAGAGTTGGAACAATGAACCATTTCAGTGCAGATTTATGACCGCCCCCCGCCCAAAAAAAAAAAAAAGTCTTTAGAGTTCCTTGTTTTGAAAGCTTTATAATATTTAGTGTTACTATTTGATTAAAGAAAATATGTGGTAGTAAGATAATTACATTTCATTCTGTATAAGCTATCAATGAATGTGATTACAGTTTTATGGTTATTCTGGCTTGGGATGGGCAATGAGAGAAAACATAGGCAGAGATAGTTCCATACCAAATACACCATAGAAAAATATTTATGATGCTTTCTCTTTGCGAATTCTAATGTTTGGGACCCGGCAAAAAAAAAAAAAGTCTTTAGAGTTCCTTGTTTTGAAAGCTTTATAATATTTAGTGTTACTATTTGATTAAAGAAAATATGTGGTAGTAAGATAATTACATTTCATTCTGTATGAGCTATCAATGAATGTGATTACAGTTTTATGGTTATTCTGGCTTGGGATGGGCAATGAGAGAAAACATAGGCAGAGATAGTTCCATACCAAATACACCATAGAAAAATATTTATGATGCTTTCTCTTTGCGAATTCTAATGTTTGGGATGCTATACTGGATTGAGAGTTGGTTTAATGAACTATCGTCATTCAGATTCGTGCCAAAGAAGAATTTTGTTCTTTTGATACACTTTTCTTTTTATCCATTTCAACCTCTTATCTGGTTAATTTAAATTGATTTCTTATTTGTTAATTATACTCCACTCCCTCTCCATGCTTGTGTTCCCAGCAAATAAAGTATTGATGCCTGTGCTTCTTTACAAAGATGTAATGAATATTAAAAAAAAATACATGAATCGTAGCATATGGTGGAGTGTTTTATTTTTTCCTGGAATTTTATGTGTTTTATTTTTTCTTTGGAATTTTATGTGTTTACTAGCACTTAGTTTTTTTGAGTCATGTACAAGCCTTAATTTAATAGGCTCCTGAACTGAAGTTGTATTATGCTTTTCATAAGCTTAAGGAAATCAATTCTCGTTGTAGATAAATTGAACTTGGTAGTAACTCATGCCGTTGGTTTGCAGGATGATGAGTATCTGGGCCAATGTTTGCTTTCTTTAAGTGTTGAATATTGTAGTTTGAGTTGATAGCACTCTTTTTCAGCTAATTAAGATATGAACTCTTATATCTGGAAATCTCCTTTTTGTTGAAAATTATGAATCTGCTCGTGCATTTTATCTGCACAGTAGATTGGTATACTTGGAAAAGAAACTGCAGATACTATTGCTATTAGCCTATTACTAAATAAATCAGGAATATGTTCCCGTCTCTGGCAAGCGAATTTACTCCCATCTTCGATAAACTTGCAACTTGTGGATTTTTTTTTTGATATCAATGGCATTGTTTCATCTATATCGCATTGAAGGCAAGTTTGAATAGATATGGGACGTGGAGTTAGCAGTGGTGGAGGACAGAGCTCATTGGGCTACTTGTTTGGGGATGGTGAGGCACCGAAACCTGCCACAGAAAATGCTCAATCTCTTCCAAGTGAAGTTCGGCCGGCAAGTAAAGAGCTTCCCCAAAAGCCTAATGCTGCTGCTTATCAAAGTATAGATGTTAGCAAGCAGATTCCTGCAGGCATTCAGAGTAGCACAGCAAACTACTTAAGAGCAGATGGTCAAAACACTGCCAATTTTATTACGGTATGTTTTAATTGAAACATCTAAACATCTGGCTAACTCTAAAATGCTTAATAGGTTCACCCATCATATTATGCGCTGTTTTGTGTATACATTCACATGTAAAAAGCTTACATAACGATTCTAAATCACATGATGCTTTTTCATTTTCTTACATTCAACTGAGACCCAAGCCCTATAGTTGAGAATGAGCAGACTTTAGCCTTTTGTTGAGGTCAGTGTCAAAGATTTTGAAGCTGTTAGTGTCGTTTACTTAAATATCTAGAAATTGCCTCAACCTGGAGTTGAGTTGCTGATATAGGTAAATTTGTTTTTGGATCAAAGTTGGGCTCTATTCAACTCTGGTTATTTATTTATTTTTTCATTGTTTTTGTATACATAATTAAAATTTTAAAACTAATTTAACTGTTTTGTTAAACACATCAATAACAAACTAGCAAACTAAGGCCTTTTTCCGAATGTATTAGCTAAATGAATCTTTTTTCAGTCCATCCAGTCGTTTCTCATTCCCAATAAATGTCTAGCACAATATACCAAATTTTAAGCTCATTATTTTGCTGATGTTTACTTTCAAGTAGATGAATTAATGCGTTACGGACTTTCACTTTGATATCTGACAGAGATGAACACCATTTTTGGTGGATATTCTCGTGATCTATCTTATCTATTGTAGTATGATTAGACATCTATGCTAACTCATTTTTGTTACATTCATCCTAGAGACATTACATTCTTTCAGTGGTCCAACAATCACTACCATAAAGCATTATAGGTTTTAATAACTATTTTCCACAGGGGTCTTCCTGCCACACAGAATTCGTTTAGTACTTCTTACTTCTCCACTTAATCCAATCAATTCTAATCCTAGCATTACATCCTCTTCTGCCCTTTATTACCTGTTAAAACAGATTAGATACATGAAACTGGTTCAGCAATTTAAGGGGGGAAAAATAAAAAGAAAAAGAGAGAGTGGGAGATTATATGCAACTTAATAGAAATGTGTGTTTTTTGCTTCTTTACGCTCGATGAAGTCTTGCATCACTAACCTGCACTTTGTGGTCACTCGTAACAAATAAATACTCATACATGGCGCTAATCAAAATTATTCATTTAATGAAGGATCGGCCATCGACAAAGGTCCATGCTGCTCCTGGAGGTGGTTCTTCCTTGGACTATCTATTTGGTGGTGGCAGCAAGTGAAAGGCATACAAGTCCGAATGTCCGATAAAGCGTCACTTTTTGTTGAATTCTGTGAGAATTTATGGTGTAAACAGAGAATTTTTACCTTTGTGGTCTTCAGATACTTGTTAATGAGATTGCACATATCGCTGGGTGTTGGTGTTAACTGGGTTTTTTTCGAGCATATTTCCTGTTAATTTTATACGCTTAAATTCTGTAAAAGTCTTGCATGAAAAAAAACTGAAGGATGCATTTTCGAGAGCATGTTGCCTTGGGGAAATACTCGAATTGAATCCTATTTGGCAACGAGGCAGGTGGGAATAAAATATCTCCATGTATTTTATTTTAAGTATGATTAACTTTTAAAAATAAAAATAAAAATAAAAATAAAAATAAATGACCGATGGGGTGGAGCATTTTTGCTATCTTACCTTCAAATTACAAAATATATAAAAATATAATGCTATTTAGCATTATTGGTGCTACATCTATCTAGATGTAATTAATATGTTCAATTAAAGACACAAGTATGTGAGGCTCATTTATTTTGTAAAAATTTCTATCCAGTTCTATTGGTGCTCTAACAATAAGGTGATAACATTTGATAGATCCAATTAAATGTTTTACGTGTCATTTCATTTAAATAAATCTATTATTTAACACCATTTTCAATGCATTAGGTAGATTACACTCAATGTGGTTTTTAAATAGATGACTTTGTAGGCGACTTGTCATTGATGTTTAATGAATAGTTAGTCAAAGTCTAAAATTAGAATTTTACAGAGCTTCAATTCTCAAGAACTTGAAAATCTAAGTATTTTATTGTCAAGATTTTTCAATCAAATTACCAAAAGAATTATTAAATGCAATACATACCTTAATTCATTGTGAATACTTCTTTATTATTGGATATTGATTTTGGATCTTGAAACTCGAAGATCAACTGCAATCTCTCCATATTTGTTTTTCAATCTTTAATCTTGAATGTTGATTTCTTGTTCCATAATCTTGATTGATTCAATTCCTTCTTCTTGATTATTGATTTTGATTGTGGGTTTTAGATCTTCCTCTTCAATAATTTCTCTTGATATTCTTGTGTTGATGGGATAACACATAAAACGAGAATCACATATGAATTGAGCACTATAATTCTATATATATTCATAAATATTTTGCCTAACATGAAATACAATTCTAATGGATTCGGTCTTTAGGTTCATACCTTATTTAGATGCTCAAATCTCATAATTTTAATTCTTCATTAGATCACTTTAATTGTGTTCAACTTTAAGGTAACTTTTATATACAATTAATTATATAAGTATGCACACATGACAAATTAGAACCTAACAATTTCCCTCTTGAGCCACATATATTATTTTATAAAGGTGTATAACCTTACGGTGTCAAAATTTTTGCGATCATAACCAAAAGCATTTATGAATAATCTCATCCATTAATTATGTTAATATAAGATCAAAGTGTTCTTCATTACAAGTATAATAACTAACCACATAAATGGTCACGTATATCAACACAATCAATTGACATAAATCAAGTATGAATGTGTAGAATGAAAATTATATGTAATGTGATCCGGACATGTCTATTTCCAACTGATCATACTTTATTCTTTAATGAGATCAAACTGAACTGAATACTTATTTCTGAAATAACTTGAATATCCATAGATAAATATATTTGTCTAAAACATACAATATTCAAATACAAACTTCCATTAAACCGATATATTAACAAAAGATGCAACACTAATGTGAGCAATATGCTTCTAAAAGACCTTGGGTGGTAGTTCTTTGGTAAACAAATCCATAACCATAGAGCTTGTCCTAATATGCTTTATAGAAACCTAAACATGCTGAATTCTTTCCTTAACATCTAGGAACTCAATATCTACAAACTTTGACATCATCGAGCTATTGTTGGAATACGTGACTGCTATTGTCACGAATAACTTAAGTGGTCTTTCAATTTCCACCTAGTGACAAAACTTCGCAGTTTTATTCCATGGTCAAAATCATAATATTCAATGATCTCCAATTGGTTTGATTTCTTATATGTGATCATATAATCCTTAGTTCTCTATAGATACTAAATAGCCCGATTGACTACTTTCCAAATATCCAATCCAGAGTTACTTAAGTTTAGGCCCAACATTATAACAATAAATGCTATATCCAAATATCTGCAAGCCTAAGCATACATTGTGGAAACATGGAGAAGTTTCTGTATTTCTTTTTCTTTAAGTTTATCTTTAGGACATTGATTGAGATTAGACTTGTCTTCCTTAGTAATGGGATATCACTGATTTGTAATCCTTTACCCCAAATCTCTTAAGGATCTTATCGATATAACTCTTGTAATATCCAAAAATACCCTAAGAAAGGTCCCAACATATTTGTATCCCTAACTTAAAAAAGAGATGTCACCAAGATCCCCCATTTTTTTTTTAAATTTCATGACAAAAATATCTTGATTTCGCACAAAAAGCTTATATCATACCAAGAAAGTAGTGTGTCATTGACATATGGGGTTGTCAAACAAGCCGAGCGACTCGTTGGCTGAGCTCGTGAAAAAAAAGGCTCGTGAGTTGCTTGGGCTTGTAATTGGGCAGCTGGCCCACGAGTCTAGTGTGGCTAGCATATGAACAGTGACCAAACCGTTTTGGTCACTGTTTATACTTCAGTGACCATTACAAACAACCACTCTAGTATCAAAAGTGGCCGTTTTGGCCACTTTATTATTATTTTTATTAAATTCCATGGATGCCCAACCTATTTCCAAATTTATTCACATAACATTCCAACAACAATTCTCTCTCTCTGTCTTCCATATTCTACAATTTACTACATTCATAATTCATTTCTAATTCTCTACCTTCAATTTCAATTATTCAATATCAATTACCAACTCACCACACTACAAATTTACAATTACAATTTTATACATAAACTTTCTTTGAATTCTTAATTTCCTTTCATACTCTTTATTTAAGTAATTAATTACTATATATTATACAGTCTAGTATATACAAATAACAATACATATTTTATACATTTCTCTACAATGTACAAATGGATTCATACTCATTTGTTGAGGGATAGTTCAGTATCGGAGGCGAATCACCTATGACGTAAGCATATGATGGATTTTGTAGTAAAAATGTGTCTTGAACCACTTTTTCAATCACGTTAATTTGAAAACGACTCTCTGACTCTATAGGTAACTTCATAGCCTTGAAGACATTAAAGGAAATCTCCTCTTTTCCCAATCTCAGAATCAACTATCCTTTATGAACATTAATCAAAGCTCTACCGATGGCCAAGAATGATCTGTCCAGCATCAGTTGAATATCCTTGTCTTCCTCCATATCCAGAATGAGAAAATTAGCAGAAAAGATGAATTTCTCCACTTTGATTAGCACATCTTCTATTGTTCGTCGTGGATGTGTCAAGGATCTGTCAGCTAATTATAACGTCATAGTGGTAGCCTTGCCTCTCCTAATCCAAGTTTACCGAAAATAGATAGAGGTATTAAACTAATACTTGCCCTAAGGTCGCATAAAACTTTATCAAAATAAACTTCACCAATAGTGCAAGGGACATTGAAACTCCTTGGATCTTTCAATTTCGGTGGGAGCTTCTTCTGGATTCTCGCGCTGCATTCTTCAGTTAGCATTATTGTCTCATGTTCTTTAGTTTACATTTGTTTGATAGGATATCCTTTAGGACCTTGGCATAACTAGGTATCTGGACTAGTGCTGCAGCAAATGGGATGTTTATGTGGAGTTTCCTGAAAACTCCGAGAATTTTTTTTATTGTTACTCCATCTTCTACTTCTTCAACCTTCGTGGAAATGGAATGGGAGGTTCAATAAGGGTTGACAGTGGCTATTGCTTTATCCCGTGATGTCTTTGAACCTTCTGTTGGGGTAGATTTCTTTATTTACTTATCCTGCTCCACAGTCTCTTCTTCTATAGGAGGTGTTGTTTCTCTGTGTACTCCCGGCATTGTGACTTTTATTTCAAGTAGTTACACCCCACTTCCAGTGTAATTACCTTCGCATGCTCCTTTAAGTTTATTTTCGTGTTGCTTGGCAAACTACCTGGTGCTCTGTCAGTCAAAATAACTGCCATCTGTCCCATTTGAATATCTAGATTTTTTATGATGGTATTTTGATGTTGAAGGGTGGCTTCGATTTTCCTCATGAACTGATTGGTCTTTTCCATAAATTTTTTGAACATCTCTTCCAGTTGAGGTTTTTTCTCTTGCTGTTGGTATTGACCTTGTGGCCTATTTTGAATTTGATTGCTCCAAGAGAAAATATGGTGCTTATCCAGCTCTGGTTATACATTTCCCTAAATGAATTGTTCTATTAGCATTGCCACCAATGAGCAAAATCCGTATGCTCTATTCCTTGTACTAAGATTGGACACTCTGTTGTGATATGTTTAGCTCCACATTCATCACAGCTGATTTTCTTCGTCTATGCTGTAATAGCTGATTGTGACATGTTTTCCATCCTGTGAAATAGTGAATCAATCTTTGCAGATAAGGCAGAATATGTATTAACTTAATAAATCCTGTGTGTCCTTTTCTGAACTACTCGTTCTAATATCCACATAGCTGATGTAGAAGCTATTTAGTACATCATTCAATTGTTTTTGTGGACAGCGATCCGTTAGATGAGGAGTCAACCATGCTTTTGAAGGCTAGAAGTAATCTCGCGTAGAAATATTGGACCTGGAGCCCTTGCTGATCTCGTGATGTTGACACTTCCGTAGCATGTTTTTAAACCTATTCTAGGCTACATCAAAGTTCTCTGAGTCACCTTGATGGAAAACAGATATGTCATGCTTTAGCTTTGCAATCTTGGCGAGCGGGAACTTAGTGCAAAACTTCTGTGCTAGATTGTTCCAAGTAGTGATGCTGGCGATTGGTTGAGAGTCCAGTCATTCTATTGCCTTGTCGTACAGTGTATGTGGGGACAACCTCAATATGATAGCATCGTCTCAGATTCCTTGATATCTGAAGTGTTGGCACATCTCCAAGAAGCGAGAGACGTGCGTGTGAGGGTTTTCTTCAGCTCTGCCGTAAAATTGATGTTCATTTTGAAACAGTTGTATCACATTGGTCTTCAATTGGAAGTTAGGCTACCCAAATGGTGGATATATGATGCTTGATTGGTTTTGAATTATCTGCGGGGTCATGAGTCTTCTACAATCATGTTGCCTTCATTCACTGCTC